GCGCAGAACTCAAGAGCATCTCACGCTGAGGACTTGAAGCTGCACATTCTCATCCTCACCTCTGTAGGAGATTCCAGACAAGGTTTAAAGGAGAAATGCAAGACACGTTTCTTTGCATTGATCTTTGTATAATCTTAAGCAATTCACAGGGACTCTCTTACAATCAGTCCCCAGGCAGCCCACCTCCCTTTGTGTGTTATTTCTTTCTAACATAGCATGCTTGTCAAAGCAGTGAGGTATTACAGAGAAATAGGCTGTGTCAATGCATGTAAAATAGCATTTTATACTTTGATGCACTGACAGTTAAAGTGAACATCACACAAACCATTTAATTTTGAAACCAGCTCTTGTGAAGCTTGTTTCATTGCTGTTCAAAATTCAATTGCCCTTCCTCTGAAGTTCCTTCTCTACCTAATATTTTTTCCTCATGTTGTATAAGAGGACCTTTTTGGTGGAAAACATGCATTATAGCCTGGGACAAAGCCCCTTTGGGATGTCGAAGTATTGATTCTATCCAAGACCTTTACTGTTATCATATATTTTTTGTGATAGTCTATCTGGTGACTTCCAATTGTGTTCAATGGCTACTTTATTATTTGTTATTTCAATTTAGTGGGAAACTGTATAAATTATTCTATTGGCTGCTTCTACTTTTCTCATTCCCTATCCTTCCAACCCCACCCAAAGATGCAGGCCAATTTTTATCTTGGGGTGACTTTCATTTTATTTCTATAAGGAAAAGTCATCATAGTGTGATCATAAAGTGATCATAAAGTCATCATTAACTCACTGCATTTTATGGATTTAAAAGTACTTTTATTGATCAAAATTTTAGGCTTTTCTCTTGAGGATCAATTTATTGTGCACCATGGACAGAAAAACTAAATACTTCCTTAGAATACCAGCAGCCCATGGGGTTAGAAGTTTGGCTTGGGTGTGGAACAGCTTGCTGCTGTAACTAAAGACTTCTGTTGACCTTGGCAAGCCCTTTCACATCTCTAAACTCTAGTTTCTTAATAGAGAAAGAGAGGCAATGTCTCTTCCTTGGGTAACTGTGGTGATATAATGCACAGAAGATGCTTAATACATAGAGGAGCTTGCTAAATGTCAGCTGCTGGTTCATGTTTTCTATTGCGGTAGTGGCAATGACGGCAGACTTAGCTTTTCTGTTTCTGAGTGAGGTTGCTGGCTGGAACAGCGGCTTAGCTAGGAACTGCCTAAACAGTGTCCTTGGTTATATCCTAAATATCATAAGTTTAATTCAGTTGACAAAATGTCATTAAATGGCCAAAGAAAGATAGAAAATACCTTTCCTTCCTTTCCCCAACAATTCCTTCTTCTTGTCATCTGTCCTGTCTTCTTCTCTCTCATTCCACCTCCCAAATAGTTATTAAGGGTCATGCATGCAACACAGGGCTGATCCCAGAGTTCATGAGCTAATATAATGCAGTCCCTGTACTCCAGATGCTACCAGTTCCTTTGCAGGAGAAGCAAAGGGCCAGTCACTGCAGGTCACAAGGAAGTGACTGAGAAAAGCTAATGCTAAAGTTGACCATGGAAGGTGAGTAAAGTCAGGTAAGTGGAGTGAAGCGTGGGCCTTACAGTGTAGAGGAGAGGGCACAAGAAAGGGAGAAGAGAAGGATATTCCGGAACGCTTGATCTAGTGGAAAGGACAGGAAGAGGCCAGAATACCTGCCTCTGTGATGGTGTTGTCCTGCTTGTGCCTCCACATGGCCAGAGCTGTCCCCGAAGCTGAGTGCTAGTGACATATGCTTCCTACTTAGAGAAAGCTCCTGCCGATGTCACTCCTAGGCCAGGAGGCAGCTTTAGGAGGGGCGGTGACAGATCATGAAATATGGAGCCCTAGGAACAGACAGGGCTTTGTGAAAGGGGATGAGGTGAAAGTCAGAAGAGGAACAAGTAGCACCAAAATAGAACAGCATCCAAGAGAATAGGCTGAGCCTGGGTTCTGAGGAGCAGGGACCTAAGCGGGAACAGAACAGCGAGGCAAATGGAACACAGAGTGCCACAATCACGCAAGTAGCACAGGGCCCTCAGCAATTTTGGGAAAGTGCCATTCCTGCACAGGCTTACTTGAGAATTGATGGCCTTTTAAAAGGATCAAAGTTCAATATGAGATAAGTGGCTGAGAAAAATGCTTTTAAAATGAAAATTCCTTGAAAGCAAAGGCCCTGGGCTGTTGTTTTTTAGTACTGGGAATTGAGCCCACAGCCTTTTCATTGTGCTATGTACCCCAGTCCCTTTTTTGTTTGTTTGAAGACAGAGTCTGCTAAGATGCTGAGTTGCTCAGGCTGGGTCCGATCTGTGACCCTCATGCCTCGGTCTCCCAGACTGCTGATATTATAGGTGTGAACCACCACAGCCAGCTTGCTTTCTGTTTCATTTTCAACATAGCGAGAAATATAGCAAGCCCTCAATACTGGAGAATGAATTGAGAAATTAATGAACCTAATCGATAGTGTCTGAAAAGCTGGGACAGCATGGGAGGTAGGGAAGATGCTTCAGGCCTGCACCTGTGGGTCTGGCTCTCGGCATGCTCACACATCAGCAGGGCAATGCCAGGCGAGTCATTTCACTCCTGAGGTGTAGACCTCAGTTTTCCTTGCTGTGCAGCGGAAATGATGCTGCTGATCTTGCGGAGCTCCAAGGTGAGTGAAATGTGATGTTTGTTTGTAGAGTATGAGGCACCGGATAGACGCTCCAAGAGTGACAACTCCGACACTGTTATGCTAACGACATAAAAAGTCAGAGCTGGCACTTTCAGAGCTGGCAACTTCTTTTCCTCAAATTGAAAAGCATTTAAAGTTATTGCAAGAATAGCTCTAGAAAAAAGAGATTTAAAGGGGATAACCTATTTAAATATCATTTTAAAAATAACCTTCTTCAAGGAACTTACACACAGAATGGCAATTTTTACGATGTAGGTATTTTTCTGTTGCTTAGTCACTGTGCTAGTTGGAGTCCTATCAAGAAAGAGAGCAAGAGTGGACCAATATGGAAACGCACTCACAAGGGAACACGCTTACAGAGAATTCGCTGAGGTGAGATACAAAGAACTCCTAAGGATATTCTGGGGCTGAGAAAGGGTACCCAAGGAAGAAATGAATTAAACAGGGGAGCATTCTTCCCATGGCTGAGATTCGAATCTTGTTGGTGAATATGTTGTTGAAATCCACTGGCTGGCAGAGAAATTCCAAATATTGTGGCTGTCCAAAGTTGATGGAATGAGGCTGGGACTGGTAGGCAGAGAACCATCTGCTGAAATGTCAAAGAAATTAAATAGGAAGCTGATGAGGGAGATAGGAGGTGGAATCCACTGACTTTCTGGAAAGCCAGCTAGTCTCAGAAGGATTTTCTAGAAATGTTCCTGGAAGCTGCCTGAGGGTGGGATTCCCAGGACTCACAAGAACAGCTGCCATGAGAAAATCACCGGAAAATGAGTCAGGTGCCAGAGGAGCTCATTAGCTGCCCTTGAGAGGTCAGCTGAACTCCAGTCTTAGCAGGTGTCTCTTGTTGCTGGCCACAGGGACTGTCTTGGTTTTGTGTTCCTCTCACCAAAAGCCACAGACTGGATGATTCGTGAAGACAGGACATTTATTCCTCACAGTTCTGGAGGTAGAGAAGTCTAATACTAAGGGGACAGCATCTGGCAAAAATCTCCTTGCTATGTCACTCCATGGAAACAGGCAAAAGGGCAAGAGAACTTGCACGAGGAAGAGGACACAGTGCCACACTCTATGTTACTAACTCACTCCAAGATAATGGCACTGACTCATTCATGAGAACAGAGCCCAATGACTTCAACTTCCCTTAAGAGTGCCTCTTCCCAATACTGTCAGGATGGAGATTAAATTTCAGCCTGGGTTTTGGAGGGGAAAATGTATAAAAACACACCTGGAATCTTGCCACAAAACCTCAGCGGCTCTGCCACAACACAGCGAGGACCACAAGTGCCTAGCGCAACCCAGAAGCCTATTCCTTTGCTAGTGTCTCTCGAGCGCCCTCTACTGACCAGATTTAGCCTGGTGGGGCAGACAAAGAAAACCTGCTGCAGGTTCCCCTCCCTATCACAGAGTAGGTAAAAAGACAAATTTTGGGCCAAAAGGCAATAAATATATTGATCGCTGTCACAATCACATAGGAGTAGATAGATATTATAAAATTAGCCGCTCAGAAAAGAAAGGATGGATTTATAGACAATATGTTTATAACTTCCATGTCTCCAAAGAAATATGTATCTTAGAAAGTACTTACTAAATTTCTATAATCTTAATGAATAATTGTTCTGAAAAAATAGAATTAAGAATGCCAAAGGCAGGGGCTGGGGATTTAGCTCAGCGGCAAAGCACCTGCCTGGCAAGCGCAAGGTCGTGAGTTCGGTTCCCAGTACCTGAGAAAAACCAAAACCAGAAAAACCAAAAAAAAAAAAAAACAAAACAAAAAAAAAGAATGCCAAAGGCAGCACAATTCAAAACTCCCTCTGCAATATTGTATCAAGACTATTCATGTGATTTCACCTATGGTTTCTGGATAAATGTTTAAAAAACTATGCACTTAAGCAAATGACTGCACTTGGATTTCTTAGACTTTATGAGCCAGAGCACAATACTGCTTTCCAGAATCAACATTCCAGTTTTCTGAAAGGTAATATAGAAACCTCAAAAGCTATCTTAGTACAGCTTCTTTGAAAGACTTGCTTGGTTTAGTTCAATCCCTTCAGTCTACAAATATTTATTACTTAATATTCTTAAAATTGATTCTCCTAAATTGCATAATGATTTATTAAGAAAGTACTCTCTGTGGAAACCAATATACCAGAGAAGGGGAGCATGATAGGACAGGGAAGAAGCAACATGGAGGGGCAAAAGGAAGATAGGTTCCACAGTGGGAACCTTTAGCCAGATCCCCAGAGGATCTCTAGGTTATGACTGCACTGCAGAGGGGTAACCATCTGAGCAAGAGAGGTAGGGCTTTCCTACCTCTGCAGCCACAGGGGAGGCATGTTCTTCCAGCTCCTCTGACTCTACATTCACACAAAGTGAACTTTAATTGGTTGGGAGGAATCCTCAGAAGTAAAACTATTGAAAGTGAAAGCACAATAGGTTTCCAGGGTGAAAGAAAACATGAGAACACACACATTGCAAAATGAGAAAGTAAATACTAAAAAGAAATTTGACAGGATCTGCACAGATTTCTTCATACCATCTTATCTTTGCTCTCCATTTCTTACTAACTAGCCTTAGCATGAAAGTACTCTGCTTTGGGAAGCCGAGGATCTTAATGAGGACTTTAAAATTCAATTCAATACAGGGAAATGTCAACAAAATTATGGAGTCAGAGCCACACTAAGCCCTGAATAGCTTTGGGAAACTCCATGAGCCATACCTCCCCACCATTGCAGGAGTGACACTGAGCCCTGGACAGCTTCAGGGGCCTTGGTGAGCCATTCCCCATACCACCACACTGTTGTGGGAGCAATTCTGAGCTACAGACAGCTAGAGAGAACTCTGTGATCTGTGTCCTCCCATCATTAGGGAGGTGAGGCTGAGCCCCAGACAGCTTCAGGAGCCTTGGTGAGCTACCACCGCCCTCTCACTGATGGTAGGAGCAAGGCCGAGCCCTGGACAGCTAAGAAAAACTCAGTAAGCCATGCCCTGCCATCCCATAATTGCAGGAGAAATGCTGAGCCCTGGTGAACTCCAGGAGCCTCAGTGAGCTGCTTCCTACCCCTCCTCTGTTGTGGGAGTGATATGAGTCTGGGGGAAATTCAGAAGCCTTGGTAAGCCGCCCCCAAACCTCCACCATCATGGGAATATTGCTGAACCCTGGACAGCTTCAAGAGACATAGTAAGCTGCCCCTTGACACTCCATTGACCCACTATCACAGGAGTGACACTGCACCCTGGGGAACATCAGCAGCCTCGGCGAGCACCCCCGCCTCATTGCCCCACCATTGCAGGAGGGATGCTAAGCCCCAGAGAAATTCAGGAGCCTTGGTTAACCGCCCCCACCCCCACTCCTCTACTATCGTGGGAGTGATGCTGAGTCCCAATGAACTTCAGGAGCTTCGAAAATTTCAAAATGAAAGGAGCTAAATGCAATCTCAAACCTCCAGGCCATCTAGAACAAGTCCAGAAGACATTGACATAGAAAAGCTTAGAAGCTGCACACCTAAAATTTCTGAAATCATAGCAACTGAAGTAAAGAAACAGCTCCATCAGGCCGTAGAAGAAGTCAGATCAGAAATAATCTCTCAGGTATAAAAAGGAATGACAACAATAATGAATGAATTGCTTCGAACATCTAAAGAAGACAGATTAAAAATAGAGGAGCATAGAAAAATGATGGAAACATAAAATGAACAATATAGGAAAGAATTAAAATGCATGAAACAGATTCAAACAGATATCCAGGAAATTAAAAATTCCATTGAAAGCTGGCCAAACTGCTTAAATAAAACTGAAGATACACTTTCAGGCCTTGAAGAGAGCATTGAAGCTAGTAATCACAAAAAAACAGTCTCTTAAAAATAGCAAGGATCCACGAAATAATAATTGAGCAACTGCAAGATAAGGCAAAGAAAAACAATATTAGATGGATAGGTGTCAACAAAACAGCAGGAGTCAATATGAATGACATAAAAAACTATTTGCAGAAGTACTAGAGGAAAATTTCTCAAGCATGGGAGAAGAACCTGACATACAAATAAGTGATGCATATAGGACTCCAGTTAGTCATAACCAAAATAAATCTACACCCAGACACATGATAATCAAGATCACAGAAATTCAGCAAAAGAACAGAATATTAAAAGATGTTAGAGAAAAGAAACAGACCACTTATAAAGGAAAGCCCATCAGAATCACAGCAGATTTCTTAACACAAACTGCCAAGTCAAGAAGAGCTTGGATAGAAGGTCCTGAAAGAAAATAATGTTCAACCCAGAATGATGTACCCTGCAAAACTATCTTTCAAAATTAATTGAGAGGTAAGATCCAACTAAAAAAGAGAACTACAGGCCTATCTCCTTAATGAACATATGCAAAAATCCTCAATAAAATATTAGCAAACAGAATGCAAGAATTCATCATGAGGATTATACACGATGACCAAGTGAGATTCATCCCAGGAATGCAGGGATGGCTCAATATATGCAAATCAACTACTGTAATACACCATATCAATAGAGCCAAAGACAAAAAAAATCACATGATCATCTCAACAGATGTAGAAAAAGCTTTTGACAAAGTCTAACTCTCATTCATGATAAAAAAAAAAAAAACCCTACAGAAAATCCAAGTAGATGGTCTTTACCTCAATCTGATAAAAGCCATTTATGACAAACCAACAGCCAATATCATACTAAATGGTTGAAAAGTGATAGCTTTCACTTTAAAATCAGGAACAAGACCAGGATGTCTGCTGTCACCACTCCTACTCAATATGGTTCTGGAAATATTAGACAGAGCATTAGACAAAAGAGATGTATAAAAAGAATAAGGATAGGATAGGAAAAAGTTAAATTATCATTATTCACAGGTGACATGATACTCTACATAGAAGACCCCAAAAACTCCTTCAAAAGACTTGTAGATCTAAAGCCAAATTCAGTAGCATAGCTGGATAAAAAGTCAGCACTCAAAAATCAATAGCAGTCCTATACACAAACAACAAACACAATGAGAGAAAAATGAAGGAAACCACACCTTTCACACTAGCATCCAAACAATAAAATACTTAGGAATCATTCTAACAAAGGAGGTAAAAAATCTACACAGTGAAAATTATAGTACTCTGAAAAAAGAGATAAAAAAGATTTCAGAAAATGGAAAGATAACCTTGCTTGTGGATAGGAAGAGTCAACATTGTGAAAATGGCCATACTCCCAAAATTGTTATACATTTTCAATGTGATCCCAATTAAAACACCATCAGTATACTCACAGATAGAGGGAGAATATTACTAAAATTCATCTGCAATGGGAAGAGACCCAGAATAGCAGAAGCAATCCTGGACAAAAAAGGAAAGGCAGGAGGCATCATAATCCCTGGTTTGAAATTATACTACAAAGCTACTGTGATAAAATCAGCATGGTATTGGCAAAAAACAGACCTGAGGATCAATGGAACAGATTAAAAGATGCAGACGCAACTACAAACATACTCAGCCACCTTATCTTTGACAAAGGGGCCAAACAAGTTCATTGGAAGAAAGATAGCTTCTTTAATAAATGGTGCTGGAAAAACTGGCTTTCTACGTGCCAAAGAATAAGTTTAGACCCATGTCTATCACCATGCTCTAAACAAAGTCAGAATGGATCAAAGACTAAATGTTAAAACACAAACACTAAATCTACTGGAAGAGAAAGTAGGTAGAAATCTTGAAGACATAGGGATAGTCAGAGAGTGCATGAACAAAAACAAAACTGCATGGGAAATACTTCAAAGAATCAACAACTGGGATCTCATCTTATTGAAAAGTTTTTGCACATCAAAAGAAATCATCAACAGAGTAAAAAAAAATCATGAATTGGGAAAAATTTAACCAACTGTCCCTCAGACAAAGGACTTTTGTCTAGAACATATATAGAATTTTAAAAAGTCAGGCCTCTAAAATTCTAAGACCCAATCCAAAAATAGCATCAGAGATGAATGCATACTTCTCAGGTGAAGAAATACGAATAACAAATAAATATATGAAAAAGTGTTCAACATAATTGATCATTCAAGAAATGCAAATTTAAAAAACACTGAGATTCCATCTCATCCCAGAAAGAATGGCCATCATCAAGAAGTCGACCAGTAACAAATGCTGGAGGGGCTGTGTGGAAAAGGAACACTTTTCCACTGTTGATGGGAGGGTAGACTGGTACAATCACTGTGGAAATCAGTCTGGACATTCCTAAGAAAACTAGGATTAGAGGTCCCATTCATCCCAGCTATTCCCCTTCTTGGTATTTTCTCAGGAGAACAGAAAACATCATACCACAGTGATATATGTGCACCCATGTTTATAGCAGTGCAATTTTTCGTAGCTAAATCTTGAAAACAACCCAAATTCCCATCAACTGAGTAACAGGTAAAAAAGATGTGGTGTTCTTATAGAGTAGAGTATTATTCAGATATAAAAATAAATAAATCAAGGCTTTTATAGGTAAATGGATGCAACTAGAGACTATACTTATGTGTGAAATAAATCAAACCTATGTGTGTAAACATTGTATTGTCTCCCTAGTGTAAGAACATGAAAGGCTAAATAAAACCCACAGAGTACAATAGATATTGTGAAAGGGAAAGAAACTGCTCAAAGGAAGGATCGACTGGAATTAGGGAAAAGAGAAAAGAAAGGAAGAGAAAACATATATATGTACATACAAGGATAACTGCAATAATTGTACTGCTGATGTCTATAGACTATTTGAAAGCAACAGCTATTGCTTAACTCTTTTTTTGACCAATTTTGCATGCTTAGATCCAATACTCTGAACAACCACTTTGAAGAAAACAATATGCAATATAACAACAATTGTTGAATTCCTATCATCTTGATTAGTGAAACTCTGTATTATTTTTAATTTATTTTTATTTTTTATTCTGTTTAATTGTATGAGTAATCTTGCGTTCTTTCATCTGGTAATCTGAGCAACTTCATTGAAGATAACAATATGTTATATAATAACCTTATTAATGTTCTATCATCTTGTTTTAAATTCTGTATCACTTTTATTGTTTTTGTGTTGTTTGTTTTTATCTTTGTTGTTATTTTGTTTTCTTTTCTCTTTAAAATAAAAAATAATAATGGAGTCAATGAGAAATAAGGAAGTCAATAGAAAGTGAACTGAGAATTGTCTTTTGTGCATAGGAGGTAAACAGCATTGCTTAACTTAGAGCACTTTCCATTGAGTGGTTCAAACCAGATGATAGGAGTTGAGGAATTACAATTTGTTATGTCAGTTACTACAGCAGAGATGAATGCTTTTCTATCTCATATTCATTCTTGTACAAAAACGTAAAGATTGTTTTTTAAAAGCACATATTTTAAAACAAAATATTTTAT